TTAAGTGGGGACAGCGGGCAGTGGGTAGCATCTGTGTCACCTGATGGTTGGGTGACCTCTGCCGGCCTCAGTCTCTCCATCTGTGAGATGGAGAGCGTTGAGCCTTCCTCACAGGGTCATCGAGAGCATTCTGAGATCATGTATCAGCACAGTGCCTGTTTCACGGTAGCATGCCTTCTGTTCACTATCCCTGCCTCCTCTTTCCTGCTTGGAGCAGACATGGGAGTCTAGTCAGTCCCCTGATTCACCCACCTCCTGGGCCCCTACTGCAACTGCAGGCAGGGCAAGAGGCTTCTGACATGACCCAGAGTCTCTAGGGTAAAGGCTGTGCCGGCAAAAATGGATTCCTGCAGAGGCTGGGGCCCCACTCTGCCTCTCCCCTCCCCTCCACCCAGCCGGCTGAGCAGAGGACCTGGAAGAGGCAGCCATGGACCTGTCAGGCAGGACAGTCATCCTTGTCGCGCCTTGAAGAGGCCCGCTGGGGATCTGTTCTTTGCAGCCCTGGTGAGCAGTCCCCTGCATGTGCCTGGCAGGCCCTCCTGGAGTCCCCTCACCCCAGCAGCCAGCAGCAGGGCCTGTGAGGATGGACCTTCCGACGACCAGTGGTTACTAAGCACTGGGTGGTACTTGCTTCACCTCACCCTACCTTTCCCAACAATGCTACAAGTTAAGGGCTGTCACTGCCCCATTTTCCAGTTGAGGAAACCATGGCTAAGAGAGGGAGTAAGAATTTGCCCAAACCACTCTCACATGTGACGGGACCAGCGCTTGAATTCATGTTGTCCAACTCCAGAGCTAGGGCCTCACACTGACCTATATCCTTTCTGCCCTCTGTTACCCAGCCCCCAAATCCACGCATCAAAATCACAGGGGCAGACAGTTCCCTGGGACCTCTTGGAATGCCAGGACCATGTGGCACTTTGCCCAGCTTACATGAGTACTAGCTTCAGCACTTTTAAAGAGAAGGGGACAGTGTCCAAGAGTGAGGTCACAAGAGAGACAATGCCCAAGGAACTGCAAGTCCAAAATGGCACAGCCGGAGTCCAGAATGGATGACCTGGAGGTCATCTCTTTACATCTCTTCTTTTCCAGAAAAGAAAATGGAGGCCCAGAGCAGTAAGAGGTCCTTGCACACAGAACTTCTAACTGCCCTGCAGAGTCCCCAGTGGCCTCAGAAGCCAGGCACTGGTGCCCAGACCCTGGTATGGAAAATGGGACTGAACCCAGCCCCTCCGCCCACCTGTTGTGTGACTCTCTGCAATTGAGAGCGTCCCTGAGCCACCTGCAGGTTTCAGGGGCTTTATTTAGTTTTTTCAGGGGCTTTAGAGATAATGTGTGTGAGATCCCGGCCCAGCAGCTGGCACCTGCTAGGAACTCAGCCAACTGTAGTTATTATTATCACTGTTGTTGGCTTCCAAGTTCACTGATGTTAGGCACCACTAAGTCTCTTAGGTGCTGCTTTGCTTCTGCAGTTCTTCTGGAGTCATTCCTAGCTAGGCCCAGAGAGGGGACGATGCTCCCAGTCATCTCTGAACACTGAAATCCATCTCAGGGAGGGCTGAGCCTCAGCTCAGCATCTATTTGGAATTACAATCTGGAAGAATGACCAGGCGCTGTAGCCACGGTTGCAGCTGTGAGTTCCCAACTCTTCCAGTGTGCCTGTGACTAGCGACTCATCACTCAACCTCTATGTCAAATTTCTGGGGGTCCAATGAGCGTGATAATCACTTGCCCCCTTACCCCCACCCCCGACCCCCAAGGGAACTTTCTTGTGCTTATTTTTAAAGAGGGGCTGCCTGTGAAGTCTAACACCTCCCCAGAGAGGCTACACTCCTATTTTTTTTTTTCTTTTTTTGGTGAGGAGTGAGTGGGTACCAACCTAGACAGCATATCAAAAGCAGAGACATTACTTTGCCAACAAAAGTCTGTCTAGTCAAGGCTATGGTTTTTCCAGTAGTCATGTATGGATGCAAGAGTTGGACTACAAAGAAAGCTGAGCGCCAAAGAATTGATGCTTTTGAACTGTGGTGTTGGAGAAGACTCTTGAGAGTCCCTTGGACTCCAAGATTAAACCAGTCCATCCTAAAGGAGAGCTGTCCTGAATATTCATTGGAAGGACTGATGTTGAAGCTGAAACTCCAATACTTTGGCCACCTGATGCGAAGAGCTGACTCATTTGAAAAGACCCTGATGCTGGGAAAGATTGAAGGCGGGAGGAGAAGGGGACAACAGAGGATGATGAGATGGTTGGATGGTATCACCGACTCAATGGGCATGAGTTTGATTAAACACTGGGAGTTGGTGACGGACAGGGAGGCCTGGCGTGCTGCAGTCCATGGGGTCACAAAGAGTCAAACACGACTGAGCAACTGAACTGAACTGAACTGAGTGGAGAAGTTTCTCTTTGGGACAGAGTTACCAGGCAGTGACAATTTGGAGCAGATGTATGGCATCCTCCCCACTGAGCCCTGGGGAATAAGTGGTGAGACTTGCAGAAATCCTGCCAAATTCCAGACCCTCCTTCCCTCCCTCTCCTCATGGAGCCCTCCTCCTGGAGCCATCAGAAACCCATCAGCCTGATTTCGGTTTGGCCTGATCCAGCTTCATCCCCCATGCTGAGGGGTGCTGATGGGATGTCTTTGGATTCCACATCCTCTCACCCGGTTCCTCATGACCAAAGGCAACTAGACATGCAAAGACCTGGCTGATGAAGGGAGCAGCCTATAGCAACAGAGGCCAGTCTCCGAGTCTTCCCATCTGGCTGGCCTGAGAGCCTGTATGGAGGTGGCAACACCAGGATGGCAGTTGCCTTACATCTTCTCGTTGTCTGGAGATGCCTGTGGGGCCTGATTCCTAAGGAGCAAGGTCTCCCTGGCTTCCCAGAAAGAACATGACCCCTGGATCTGTCCCATGATTCCGGCAGAAACCAGACAGTGGCTGGGTAGTGGTTTTCTTGGTCTGTGGAAATTAGTCCTGGTCATTGCTGCAGTCTAATTAAACTCTCCAGGCAAGGCAGACAGGGGAAAGCAAGGCTGGTAGGAATCCCTGCACCTTCTCCTATTGCTCCTGTTAGCATCTCCTCCTGCCTCAGATTCCCTGCTACTCTTACAGAGCTCTTGGTGAGATACATTTTGCACATCCTCTTCTTTCTAGGGTCACATTCTGGGTAGGGTCGTTTTTTAATTTGTCCTCATGGTGAGACTTCAGAGTGAGGAAAGGATATTGCAGTTATAACGATGACTTTTCTGCAGCCAGAAAACCCACTTAGGTTTTCTTCCTTTAATTTACTTCACTCCAATGGAAATGTTATGAGGCGTCTACTGCATGCACATTTCAGTCCTGCTGCTGGAGAAACAGGGGAGGAGGGGTGCTGATGGAGGTGGTAGGGGAAAGCATGAGCTGTGACCTCACCATCTGCCTGATTCCCTAGGCAGCTTCATTTAGAGGCCAGGACCCGAGGTGTTCTTTCAGACCAGCCAGTGTCCAGGAGCACCAAGCAGGACACAAACTCCTTGACAAACCTGCCTGTCACATGCAAGGGCCTCCTGGGTCCAGACTCCCTCAGCCTGGCCAACCTCAACTCCCACCAAGAACTTTCCAGATCCTGGGGCCCAGTGCCACCAGGTACCTCTCCTCCTTGAAAACATCAAGTACTTTCATCCTCTGGACCTTTGCTCAGGCTGTTCATGGAGCTCACACCCTGCCCTGTCCTCCCCTTTCCTGCCTCTTAAGACTTCATTCGAAGAATTTATCCCCTTTCTTTGAGAAGCCTTTCCTTAAGACTGCCTTACGGTACAGTATTTCTTCCTCTGTGACCTCTGCATGGTTAGTTAATTTAACACCTATTCTCTGAGTGTCTGTTTCATGCCTGATCCTGCGCTGGTCTTCTAGAACTAACTTAGCCCATCTTGCTTTCTGCTCCAGTGAGAATGGTTTTCATAGAGCCGGGGCTGAATCTCACTGGTTTCTTTGTCCGTGTCTCTCAGCACCGTGTTTTGAACTTTGCTTAAAGTGTCAGACGGAGAGGTGGTTTCTAGCCTGGGCTCTGCCATTAGTTAGTCGTGTGGCCTCGGGCGAATCTTCCAGCCTCTCTGGCCTCCTCCCTTCTTTCTGATGAAACGGTGATGACGATTCCCCAGAGTTGTCCAGCGGACGAGGCGGGGTGGAGGAAGCTCCTTGAACGCTGGGAGCCCCAGGCCAAAGGAAGAGGTTAGGTGGTTGTACCCACAATCTCCTTTCACTGGCAGCGAAGCCGCGTCTCTTCCCCTTCTCTCTCTTCGAATGTCAAGTGCACTGGCTTCCAATCCCTCCTCGGGGCGGGCCCTCTGGCGGCTCGGCATCCTAGGCTGCGGAGGATACCGGTGCAAACTCCAGACTCTCTTCGCACCCAGCGGCCCCTTCCCAAGGTCTCGCCGATCACACCTTAAACCCTTTTCAGAGCGCAGCCCAGAACTGCAGCTCCGTGGCGCGGGCCCCGGCCGGGGTCGCGCATCTCCAGCCGGTGACTCAGGGCCGTTCGGTCCGGGAGTGGGTGGAGGTAGGCGGGACAGACCCGGGCCGCGTGGGGGCAGCGCCGGGATCTCGGTCGCGGAGCAGTTGGAGCCGAGACTGGTTCTGGCCCGTCGCCATTCCGCCGCGGGCGTCTGCCTCGCCGGGCCTTCCTCCCGCGCCGCTTCGCGTCGGCTGCGCTCCTCTCCCGGGGCGCAGCAGCCCGGCACCCGCAGAGGCTTGAGCGCGGGGCGGGCTCTGCGAGCGAATGAATGGGCGCCCGGGGGAGGCGCGCGCCTGGGGCTGAAGGGCATTAGGACCGTGAGGATCGCTCCGCGCTCCTGTCTCTCCCTATCACCCCCCCCACCCCCCACCTCTCTCCTTTTTCTGCTCTGCAGGACCGAGCAGCCCCGCGCGAGCGAAAACAAACAGCTGGGGCTGAGAGTGCCCCCTGCCCCGGCCCCGAGAGCACGCCGGCCAGGGCCCCTACTCCGGGCGTCCGCCCGCCCACCATGAGGAAGATCCGCGCCAATGCCATCGCCATTCTGACCGTAGCCTGGATCCTGGGCACTTTCTACTACTTATGGCAGGACAACCGAGCCCACGCAGCATCCTCCGGCGGCCGGGGCGCAAAGAGGGCCGGCGGGAGGCCAGAGCAGCTCCGAGAGGACCGCACCATCCCGCTCATTGTGAGTACGCGCTGCGCGCGGGGTAGGCGGCCGGGGAGCCGCGGCGCGCGTCCTAGCCCCGCGCGGCTGCAGAGGGCGCGGGGCCGGGCCGGGGGCTGCGTGCCCGCCGCGCTCCGCCGGCTTTGTATACGTTGGAGCATTCCTGTCCGTTGTTATGGCAACCTCTGTCGGGCTAGCGGGGCCAGGGCGCGAGGATGGAGGGAGGGTGACAGCGGGTGGGGGCTGGGAGAAAGTACTGCAAGTTTGGTGGGCCCGGCGTGCGCGCGCGGCTGGGAACGTGGCGGCGCTCTCGGCACTGCGCCGCGGGGCCCCGGGTGCAGGGGCCGGGGGTTGGGGGCTAGGGGTTACCCCCGCCTCACCGGTCGGCGAAGACAGCTGGACCTTGCGCACCGCGAGCGGGCAGTGGGAACCGCACGCTGCTAAGCGCGTCGGTGGCCGTGCTCTCCCTCTCTCCAGCCTCTTGGGGGCAAAGGACGTGGGGTGGGGACGCTGGGTGAGGCATGGTCGCCAGGGCCTGTGCTGGACTTCGAGCCCCCTTCTCAGACCCGGTCAACTTGAACCTGCTTGTCATGAAGACTCTCTACGACTACCCCCAGGGTTCGCTGGATCGGGAAAGGTCTCGTCCTGAAGGCGTCCCTCGCCCCAACACCAGTCCATCACCACGGATGAACTAGCAGTGTCTGCGGCCAGCCCCGCGACGTCAGTGGGAGCGGCGGGGCATGGCTGGGGCGTCGATGGAGGTGCAGGGGTGCCCTCCGGGCGCTCTGGGGGCCTAGACTGGGGCGTGCCTGTCGCCGCCTCCGCCTGGGCTCCTGGTGACAGCTGTGTGAGGCAGGGGCACCTGTTGAGACGGGAGGCTCCGGGACCCGCGAGAGGCGCGCTCGGGCGGGCAGCGTCCTTCGGATGGGGGCGGATGGTGGGCGGGACTCTTGGGCGACCCTCGGGACTGGGCTGAGGGGCGGGGCCGCCCGGGGACGCGGAGTGTGGGGCTGAGGGTGGGGGAGTGGAGCAGCGTGGCCCTTTTGAAAGGCCTGGCCTTGGGGAGGGAGCAGTGAGGAGCTCCCCTGGGAGGCGCAGGGTCAGGAGGGCGAAGGCTTGTGCGGGGGAGAATCTGAGGTCTTCGTGCCAAGGCAGCCGAACCCCAGGAAAACGGAGTGTTGTCTGTAGGGAGCTTGACGTTGTGGAAGGGCTCTCGTGTTCCCATCCTGTCCGACTCCGTGTCTTGTTACCTACCAGAAAAGAAGTAGCTATCCCCTGCAAAAGAGCATTTCCAGGCTGTGCCTGAGGAGACCTTGGGGTCGGTGGGTTTTCCCCCAGCCCCACTCCCCCATACCCAGCTCCCCCTCTGGCCGAACTCTCTGGGACTGCGCCCTGATTGGGTGAAACGCTCTGCTCTGGGCTGAGGGTCCCTGCCGCTAGCACACTGTTTCCAAAGCACTTGTGGACGTTTGGACAGACAGGCTGATGGAGGCAAAAAGCCTCCTGGGTCAAGATCCCAGAGAGTTGGGATCTGGGTGGACAGACAGATCGGAGTCAGGACTGGGCAAAGCAGGAGCGGCCCCTGACCGACCCCGGGGGAGCTTCCTCAAGGAGGACTCATCCAAGCTGCCGCGTTCCTGCTCTCCAAGAGGGCCAGCTCTGGTCCAGGGTAGGCGGGCCTGGAGTGGCAGGGGAGACGCAGACTGCCGAAACGTTCTGTCCTTCTCTGTGGTGACGTGATGGGAGGAGGGTCTGAGCTCCAGGAGGAGGGGAGGGGAGAGAGGAGGGGGAATGGAAGGGAAGAGCACAGAGAAGCCAAGTGCCGCTTAGAGCTCCAGGCTGGTCTCATCACAGGTGCCTGCGCTTCAGAAACCAGGCTAGGCCACTCAGACTGAGAGCCTGGGAGGGTGCCGGGGGCTTGGGGGCCGCTGCTGAAAGTGGGTGGCACTCATTTTGAGGGGGTGGAAATTGGAGGTCATGGGGGCTGCAGTGAACCTCCTCTCCTTGTTCCCCTGCGGTGGGACTTGCTGCAGATTAGAAGAGGGCTGTGAACTGGAAGCCGGGTTTCAAGTATGAGGAAGAATCGGGGAGCCAGGAATGGAGGTGCAGGAAGAGAGGGAGAGTGGAAGTTCCTGAGAGTGAGCTGCAGAGCCTTCTCTGGCCACTCCAGGCATAGCCTGCTCCCTCGATGTTCTTAGGCTTTAAGCCCAGGATGTCTGTTCCCTGGGCGTTGATCCCCAGTCACACCCTGCCTTTGACATAGCCTTGCATTCCCATCTTCTGGGGTATTTCACTTCATTGGGATTCTCAGCCACTGGCCTGTCGCTTCATTGAGTGGCAGCTATCACTCAGGGACTGTGCAGGAAGCTTCATGCAACCCCACCTTGATGAGCACAGCAAGACTTGAGAAGCACTGTTAAATGAGTGAAGGATTTCTGCCCATCTCTGGGAGCCATCAATGATCCAAGCTTCATATCCCACTAATACTTTATTCCAGCTCCAGCCTGACTCTTAACTAGAGAGCTAGAGGAATGTGTGTTCAGCTTCTCAGGGAGATAAACCCTTTGTTCAGCTTAAAAGGGGCAGGTGCAGCTGAAGATTTGCTTTCTGTCTAAAATCCATGGTTAACCTCTCACTGGTCTTCTTGCCATTTCAAAACATGTCCCTGTCTAGTTGGGCCAGAATGCGCTGCACGTGGATTTTCAGATTCTTAGGGAATGATGCAGCCAGCTCTGCTGACAGAGGCTAAGAAAATTCAGACAGGCGTCATCATCCCTCCCCTGGGGGATCAGAGAGCAGAGCTGGGAAAGGGAGGGTCTGCATAACAGCCTGGGCCAGGAGGCAGCTCTGGCTTCACAGTGACTGGGTGATCTGAAGCCAGCCAAGTTGTTTCTGGACCTTAGAGGCACTTGTTTGGCATTGTGGGGTGTCGGCATGGCAACCGGATGGCCCAGATTTCTCAAGGAGGTCCTGATTTTTAATATTCTGTCCTGCTGTCAGCCCATGTGTCATAAATTTTGATGTGCAAAACTGGTTGTAGAATCTGTAAAACTAGAGAAAGAGAGATACTGACTTCATCAGTAAATGGCTGCTAGCGAGGTGGCAGGGTCTGTGATTTTCTCCATGCTGTGCTTTATGGGCAAGGCAGTGGATTTGAGGATATCCACTTGAACCTACACTGATGCTCGCTAGCTCTGGACAGCAGCCAAAGCAGGAGGTGGAGCAGACACAGCTGGCCTTCAGTCTTAGGGCCTCACAGCCGGGAAGAACATTTGTGATTGGTTTGGTTTTCCATATGTTAAGTCTCTATTAGGCAGGGAGTGGGGGGCGGGATACTAAGGTGTTACACGGAATTTCACTTTACAGACATATTTTTAAAAGACTGTCCATTGTGAGTATTTTTAGGATAGGTATACTCCTTTGCAAGGTCTTCTATTTGAAACCATGGAAGTTTTAGGCAAGAGTTTTCCCAAGCTGGAGTTTTTTATCCTACCGTTGGGGTATTGCTCAGTGAGCATGGACAAAAACTGGTATCTCTGGACCTTAGTTATTTTGTATGTTAAATTTGAGTGAGGGTTAAGATTTTGCGCTTTCCCTACCAAGGGCACGGGTTCGATCCCTGTTCCAGGAACTAAGATCGCACGAGCCCTGCTATGCTTGGGATTTATTTAAATAAATAAATTTGGGTGAAATGATTTGTAAGGTGTGTTGACCCTTGGATAAGTTGATGATAGCTTCATTTCTAGAAGGAGATAAATGGCTTTAAGGGAGTTCTTTTGAACAATGTTGTGAGATTTATGGCTAATTGAGGGGCTACCCCTGTCCGGAGCAGTTCCCCTGGTAACCTTAGAGCCTGCACAGGGATCCCTGCTTACCTAGCAGAAGGGAATATAGATGATGACTTTTCTAGCACTGTTCTCTGCAAGCAGAGGCTTCAATTCAGTCTGGATAGGTTTATATTTTATTTATAATGTGTGCATTTCAGAACTGTGGGAATTATGATTTGCCTAAATGACAGAAAATGATGTTATATTTAATTTGTGTAGGTACCACACAAGAAAGAGGGTGGGGAGGGAGAATCCCTAGATCCTTTTGCCAAAATGTTTGAACTGAAAGGTCCCGATTTCCTCTTATTGGGCTCCCAGCCTGGATCATGTTGAGACCTGTCTGTAGGACCTGGGGACCACACAGAGGCCACAGGACCGGTAAGTACCCTGACAGTCCTTCCTGGGAGACCCGGGTGCCGGAGACACAGGATCCGTTTTAGGGTTCTGCTCGTCCTCCTGCTGGCCCTTCATTTCTATGTTGTCACAGCAGTTCCCGCACCGGTTGCTCTGAGGGTGCTGGGCCTGGCTTTCCTCTTTGGTGACTGTCTGTCAGCTCTGTGGGCACAGGAAGCCCTGGGTCTGAAGTGCCATTGAAGTGGACGTGGACGGGCACTGGTGGGCCTGGCTGGGCCTCGGGACTGTCTTGCTGTAATGGAAGAAACCCCGCTGGGGTGAGAGGGGGAGCCTGGAGCCGAGAAGTTCATTACAGTTACAAGATTGCAGATTAGTCCGTCGGCTTCTTGAGGAGACCTGAAACACCTCCCCGCCACCACGTAAATAGGAGGGGCAAAGACACAAGGAGGCTAAACAGGAGACCTGAGGAGCAGGGAGCAGAGTTTTGAGACTCAGGTCAGTGATGATTCCACACGAACAGAAGTTCAGTTCACTGATCAGACCGCGTGCGTGGCGCCGTCACAGGCGGTGTACAGCTTGCTTTGGAAGCGGTCTCAGCTTCTCTCCCTTGAGCCCTGTGGTCTTTGATCTACACCCATTAGCCTCTGGAATCACTGATACCCCTGTGTTATGTTTCTGGTGGCTGCATTCGTGGGACATGTCAGTGCTGTGTTAGGAGTTTTGCAGGCCTGAACCTCCTAGAATCCCCTCAGTAACATAGTGAGGTCGGCGCCATTATCATGCCCAGTTAACATATGGGTAAACTGAAGCTTAGAGGGAGATGGTGACTTACCCGTGATC